GTCCACCTTGGACCAGTCTGCCATCATCTTCAATCTAGATTCCTCCATCAGCCTCCGGAACTGGTCTCTCTCTCTCTCTCTGCTACTGTCCCCCAACAACTGACTTTCAACTCAGCAGCCAAAGTGAATTTTCTAATATATAAGTCAGATTCTATCACTCCTCTGCTTGAAACTGTTTCTGGTTCCCCATCTCACTTCCGGACTCTGCCCTCCCGTGCCCGCTCTTCCGCGTTATTACATACCCCCCTTTGTGATTCCTTGGACCCACAGAGCATCCCATCCTCTAGCTTTAGGGCTTGGCATTTATTACTCTCTGCACTTAGAACACTCTTCTCCCCGACACACACCTGCTCTGACGCAGAGCTCTGCTCTCCTGCTTCCGGCCTCTGCTGCCTGTCCACTTAGCGCCAGCGCCCTCCCTGAGCATCCCCAGCACTGCCTCTGCCCCTTCCCTGCTAGAACACGCATCACCTTCTGACATGTTATTCATCTTATGGTTTTTGCTTGCTTATTGTTTGTCTTGCCACGAGACGTAACCTACCTGAAGGCAAGGTTTTGTTTTTAACGAGCGTTAGTCCACAATGTATTCTTCAATGGCTCGGACAGTGCCTGGCATGTGATGAGCACTCAGAAATATTTACTGAATGAATAAATGAGGACCACAAGTTTCTCACCTATTTCAGGATGTGGACTAGCCTGACTTCTAAGCCACAGACAAACTGAGATTTGTGATGCTTGTTAGTGATGGGTGCATTTCCAAGGGAAAAAAAAAATCTCTTATTAAAGAGTTTTGAAACCATGAGCTTATTATACTTCTGTGGAAGATTGAGGTAACTGTGGAATGTGTTGCCTTCTATATGTAATATAGATACAGATATTAAGGCTTTTTCCATTGTCATGACTAGCATCTCGCCTGTCCTCATTCTATACATACATTGGGATATACTGAATAAAGAGCTTGTATTCCCACTTTTCAAGCAGGGGATGAATAAATGAAGCAGGAGCTGGGGGTATCAGGATTAGAGATCGTCCACAGAATTTTCCCCAATTGACAGCCAAGAGGGCTAAGTGAGGATCAATAGAATTTTCTAGACCAAGCTGCAGCTAGAAAGTTAAAGATGGAGGGAAGGACTAGCATAATTTTTCCACAATTTTTTAAATAAAATAATTAGACTCAGAGGAAAAGAAATTAGAAGAAAGTTGGAGATGGAGAATTGAAAAGAAATAATTATCTGAATGCAGAGCAAAAGGAAGGGAGGAAGGAGACAGCATTCAGTAATAATAAGGTATGCATTGAGTAGAGAGCTTTTATTCCTACTTTTCAAGTAGAAGATGACTAAATGAAGCAGGAGCAGGGGGTGGCAGTGTGCCAGGGATGTTGGTAGTTAGAGAAATGTGGTCAAAAGTTTAGATAAAAGTATGATGGTAGATTGGGGAGTATCTCCCAACTTTCCTTTACCCATTTGTGGCTTCCAAAGAAATGCTAGGCAGAAGCCACCAACACAGCCCATTGTGGATAAGTCATTGTGCATTAGGTGTCGAGAAGTTACGGCCACCAAAGGCTGATTTGGCTGCTGGTTTAAAAGATGTGAGGAAAGAGGATACCTCAACAACCTCAATGCTGTCCAGTTTTCAGTGTGTACAAGTAAAGTTGGGTTTTGAGAAGGTGGTCTCTTGAGACACCCAACCCAAAAACCACGAGGGAACCTGGCTATAGAATTCCCCATCCGAATATGCGTCACAAAACCAGCATATGGTTAAAAGCAACATTCAGGCTAAAATTAACAACACAAGAAACAACGTGTTGGCGAGGATGCGGAGAAAGGGGAACCCTCTTGCACTGTTGATGGGAATGCAAACTTGTGTAGCCAGTCTGGAGAACAAAATGGAGGTTCCTAAAACTTAAAAATAGAACTACCCTACGATCCAGCAATTGTGCTACTAGGTATTTACCCAAAGGATACAAAAATGCAGATTCAAAGGATGCAGATGCTCCTTCATGTTTATAGCAGCATTATCAACAACAGCCAAACTATGGAGAGAGACCAAATGTCTAGCGACGAATGAATGAATAAAGATGATGTGGTGTGTGTGTGTGTGTGTGTGTGTGTGTGTGTGTGTGTGTATCACTCAGCCATCAAAAAGAATGAAATCTTGCCATTTGCAATGACATGGATGGAGCTAGAGTACATTATGCTAAGTGAAATAAATCATAGAAAGACAAATACCATATGATCTCTCATATGTGGAATTTTAGAAAGAAAAGAGATGAACTTATGGAAAGGGGGAAAAGAAGAAAGGGAGAGAGGAAAACAAACTGTAAGAGACTCTTAAGGATGGAGAACAAACTGAGGGTTGATGGAGGGAGGTGGGTGGGGGCTGAGCCAGGTGGGTGATGGGCATTAAGAAGGGCACTTGTAATGAGCACTGGGTGTTGTATGTAAGTTATAAATCACTGAATTATACTTCATAAACCAATGTTGCCCTGTATGTTAACTAAAATTTAAATTAAAAAATAAAAGCAACTTTCAAAAGATACTTTTTAAAGAATATTTTTAATACGTATTTAAAATATGTATTTCTACAACTGTAATTTATCTTTTTTCTCTATGTTGCTTGCCTGATTATTTTAATTTATAAAGTTTATTTGTACTCTTTCTCAACCCACAAGGACTCAAAAGCAATTCAGAAAAAAAAAATGTATAGCATAAAAATGTTTTTTAAATTAAAAAAATCAGGACCAAAGGAAATAATAAACAAGAACTGAAAGTCTAGTCTGAAGGGAAGTAAAATATGTTCATCACAGTGTTCTAAAAAGTTCTCAAAGTTAAGCAGTAAACTCAGCTTTCTGTTAACCGAGCAGTCAAAGCGAAAAGAGAAACAGAACCAGTTACATGATTCTCATGTCCACACAGAGAAAATATTTCAGTTCCGTAGGGGAAGTAAACGATTTCCTGGAATTCAGATCTGCAAGAATTTCCTCCCATGGGGCTTCATATAGGAGATCATGAGTACTACGTAAAGGAGAACATCTAAAACCACGCCCCTACCGTGGGCTTCCTAAAGCTGTCCTTGGTAAATGTAGGAAAATCAAGGACACACACTTCAGTTAAAACCATTCTCTCAGAAATGAAGACAATATAAACCAGTAGAAACGAGCATATATACCTTCCTTGCAGTTCAGTTTAATCTATGAAGCCAACTTTGACTATCTTGAGGGAATGAACGTACTTAATCCCTCATTTTTTTTTCATACACCACATCTACCAGAACTAAATGTAGAACTCAAACAGAGAAAACTTACTAGACATTTTGGTTCTTCTTAGTCTTTGTAATTTTCATTTTTAAAAAATACGTTTCTATTGCAGTGAAATGTAGAATGTATGCCTTTTTTTTTTTTTTAAGATTATTTATTTATTTATTTGACAGACAAGAGATCACAAGTAGGCAGAGAGTCAGGCAGAGAGAGAGGAAGGGAAGCAGGCTCCCTGCTGAGCAGAGAGCCTGATGCGGGGCTTGATTCCAGGACGCTGGGATCACGGCCTGAGCTGAAGGCAGAGGATTTAACCCACTGAGCCACCCAGGTACCCCTCCTTTTTTTTTTTTTTTAAGTTAAATTTTTAAGTGCTCAGAACAGTGCCTGGCAAGTAAGTGCTAAAAAAGTATTCATTTAAAAAGGTGGGGCGCCTGGGTGGCTCAGTGGGTTAAAGCCTCTGCCTTCGGCTCAGGTCATGATCTCAGGGTCCTGGGATCGAGTCCCACATCAGGCTCTCTGCTCAGCAGGGAGCCTGCTTCCTCCTCTCTCTGCCTGCCTCTCTGCCTACTTGTGATCTGTCTCTGTCAAAGAAATAAAAAAAAAAAAAAAAAAGGTGAGGGGAAAGCCTTTCATGTCACTTGAGGAGTGGGGGAAGTGGCTGTATAAATTAATTATACATAAATAAAATGAGCTGATTGAGGTTTTATACCTCTCTTGTATCCTCCACCAATTATCATGATTTTTCCGAAAGCAGCCCAGACTCAGGGCAAGCCCTTGACTGTTTTAATGTGGGAATGCGACATAAAAAATCTGGTGGAAGGGGGATTATTATAATTTCATGTAGAGGAGAATTCGAAAGTTTTGAAATATCAGAGCCTTTTAAAATATCTTCTCCAGATGGAACAGCTGGACCTTCAGAGTCCATTACAACCTAACCAGCCCTTCCTTTCAACCCACTTCCACATTTTAAGTCTCTGTTCATGGAATGTGTCTAATTTGTTCTTTGGTACATTGTGGGCATTCAGTAATGCTCTATGGTAACAATGGAAAAAATGCTAAAGAGCTTCATTATCACATTTACCTGTGACCCTGTTTCCTTTCCTTAATCTTGCAAAGTGATTTTTAAATGCAAGCACAACATTAAGAGAAGTTGAACATATTCTGGAGGCATGCATAAAGTGGGTTTTCTACATTTGAAAGAACAAATAATCCACACGTATATTTAAACCATTTGTCCCAATAATAACAGACGTTCAATAATATGACTGGGACATAACTGAAAGTGGCGAAGGTCTACCGGGAAGATTATGGAAATCGGACAGTGAAAACCTGGGACTAAAAATCAGACAAAACCTCATCTCTTACTGCTACAATTATTCTTTGCCTCTTGTCTTCTGTGTGTAACACCCATGTAAGGCTTCCTACGAAATATTTAGCAAAGTAAAACAACTAGTTTTGAATACAAAGAGTCTGTGTGTTTATCCAACTCAAGGTTCAAGAATCAGGTAATTTTTTTTTTTTTTTTGCTTGAATTTCCTATTTCAGATGTCTGTTTCTCCCATGATGGAGAATCAGGGATTCATCTTAAAAAAAAAAAAAAATAGACAAATACATGCAAATGGATAAAATACTGTTTTAGGGCAACATTTGCACCGATCTGCAGCGCCCTCGAAGTTTCCACACAGAAGATTCTCACGGGGGTTAGGGGAGGCACCTTACAAGGTGTCCATTCAAGCCAACCTACCCGCTTGCTGCTCTCCTCCTCCTGAGCCTTCCTGAACTCATGTTCTAGGGAGCAGTCCAGCTCATTGAAGAGCCCCACTTCCTCGCAGTTCTTCAGGAATCTCGTTGGAGTCGGAGTCTGATCTGAAAACAGAGATCGAGTGATCATACGTGGGTTCTTTTCCTCAAAAGCCAGGAGCAAGCATGAGCTCAATTGACAAATCTCCTCCCCTCACCTTAATTAAGATGCCAACTTGTCATCCTTAATTTTCCACCCTTTTAAATAAGATGACAATATGGAAGAAAATAAAACCACAAATCTCATAGGAGGAATACAACGTGTAGCAAGCTGCATATGTAAGGGTTTTCCAAACTGCCAGACAATTGCCAGAGAGCCCACCATCAACTTTCTGGGGTTCCTATCACTTGAACACATGTCGCAATGTGTGGAATGACTTTTTTTTCCAAAAATGAGAAAAAACATGATTTAGCGAAAATCAGGCCAAAAAAATCTGCTGGGCCAATGTTAAGCTTGATTTCAGGGGGCTGGGAGTTTAAAAAAAAAAAGGTTTTGTAAGTGTTTATATCAAAACAAAAAGAAACAAACAAGCACATTAATTCCTTTCTCTTAATGAAAAAGGAAAATACAGCAATTTTCTCTCTCATTTTGAAAGTCACAGAGGATGATGAATGTTTCCAAGTCAAACACATTCAGCTTTCATCCATTAAAAATATAATTATTAATTTTATTTTCCTTTGCTATAGCCAAAGGAATGTTCTGAGAAAACTCTTTAAAAGGAATAGAATTTCTTTCATATTCTTGACTGTCTAGCCAGCCTACTACTTAGGAAAGTGGAGGATCTGAAGCTGCTATTGGTGGCTTAATTTTTTTTTATAAACATATAATGTATTATTAACCCCAGGGGGGTGACTTAATATTTATGTGGCCTTTGCCACATAAATATTGCAGTTTACACAATGGTTTCACACATGTTCTCCATAATCTAGATCTCACAAGACACTGTCAGGTAAATGGGGTAGAATTACACCTTTGTAATCACTAAGGACGGTTATCTCTCCTGAATAACACTGTATGCTGTCCTTGTCTCAGAAACAGCAGATGGCCATGCCAATCATTTTGCAAATGAGGAAAATGGAAGTCCTGTGTGATTCGGGGTCTCATTCAAGGTCTCCCAGGTAGATGTGATGACACCAGGATTATAACCAAAGCCCTGGTACCATTTCCAATATGCACATGTATTATTCCCACTTAAGGCAACAGCACACACAAGTGAGACCGATGATGGCACTTGTCCACCTAGAGCCATACTCAGTCCCCAAATCTCTTTCTTCATAGTTCTTGAACACATCACTACCAGGCAACTGAAGAGTGTCCTTTAGTTGAAACGAATGTGCCATTTCTGCATGCTCTTTATACATTCTCGTATGACGAAGAACTAGAATCGTATTTACTTTCCTAATTCATACAGAGAGCAGTTAATCCCAATAAATTATCCATTGAGATTCAAAGAAATAGCTTAATATTCATGAAGCTCAAAATAGTTTGACAGCTCATATAGTCAGCCCTTCTAACATAAGGTCTTCTGATTCCCTATGGCTTTTCTACCTGTTAAGCACCTAGCTGGTTGACTTGAATATCAAAGCAGCAAAAATCCCCTTCTGCATTCTTTCCTATTCTTAGCCCGAACTCCAAGATACTGAGCTCTCTTCCTCAATATACAGAGAGCCTACCACAGATGGTCATAAATCAGACATTACAGATAAAAGCCATGCAAAAGTTGGGTTTGATTGAAAAAGGTTTTTTAACACATTAATTTATTAAGATTCACACATATATAGCTATGCCCCAATATACATATAATACATATATATAGTTATACACATATGTGTATATATAGTGTGTTATGTGCTTATAAAAGATAAAATTAGTATTTACAAGCATTTTGCAGTTTACAAATATTTTCACCCAGCCTGTCTAGAGTCTAGATCTCACAAAATCTGATAAGTAGGCACATATTATTTCAGAAATGGAGAGATAAGTACCTTGCACAAGGTCACAATTCGTAAACATTTTATCACTGTTAAGTCCTCTTTCACCTTCAGACATAACCCCTTCTCAATCTAAATCCTATGCTTTGCCCAGACTCTCCTCTGGGTCTGAAGGAAAAGACCATGCTGACAACCCAGAAATCTAGACCTGAAAACTGCGTGATTTGGGGAAAATTACCTACTTTCTCTGGACCTCATATTCCTCATCTTTCAAATAAAATTCTAAAGTTACATGGTTCTATGAATCCTAAAATCACCACCGTGATGGGTTCTCTTCAAAAATCACTGTATGTAGGTCAAGGGGAGGGGCGTGGGCGGCTAGGTGAGCCTGCTGGTGGGTATTAAGGAGGGCACGTATTGCATGGAGCACTGGGTGTGGTGCACAAACAACGAATCTTGGAACACTGAAAAAATAATATTAAATTTTTTAAAAATCACGGTAGGTCGAAGAAACATGACCGAATAAAGGACAGCTTAATGGGAACATCTGGAACAGCTGGTTAGACACTAGAAATTAGGCCAGAGGTAAAGGCCAGATGGAGAGATAAAAAAAGTTTCCTGAACAGCATGTGTAAACAGACAAGACCTGAGAGTGGAAATAAAGGGATATGTGTGCATTTGTGTGTGTGTGTGTGTGTGTGTACATAGTCTTCCATCAATTGGGTGCTTATTCCATGTCAGGCATAATGCTAAGAGTTGTGTATGATTCATCATCTCATTAATTTTCATACCAACCACATTTGGTAAGAAATCTTTTTACCCCCTTTACTTAGAAGGAAACTAAAACTCTCCCCAGGCCCCATTCAGAAACTGAGTCACATAACTGTATCAGTAATTGACAATCCTAACCCTCCCTGGCTCTTTTAAAATATCTTGGAATCATTTGTATCCCCCCTATAATAGAAGCATGTTACAATCCTACAGACCTTCTACTATCTCGCAGGTCATTTTGTGAGTAAAAAACCCGAGAAAACAACCCAGGACAGAACTGCCATATTAGACCATTTGGTCATCAGTAGGGATTTAGTTTGCTGGGTTTTAATTTTTCTTCTGTTCCTCTATATTTCTCTATTGGAGATTTACAGGTTGAGGGCCATGATTCCAGGCAGAAAGAACAGTCATCCTAGTGGGGTCCATAGGACTCCTGAACTCTGAGATGAGTTCATGAGATGGGCCATCAGATTGAATTCAGACTGGCATTTGGTGGGCAAGCCCCAGGGAAGTTGAGAAATGTCTTCTGTCTTCTCTCAGCAAAATTATCCCTGAAGCAACAGGAGCCATGGGCCCTAAAGAGAGTTGGTTCCCTCCTATCCCTGGAGCAGAAGACCCAGATGGAGGCCACAGCGTTGTTACTAAATGCAACTTTCTTTGCTGTATGATATAACAAGGGGAAAGCAAAACATATCTATATCCACATTTGGAAGAGATAAGGCACACTGTTCTTAATTTTTAATTCATTTTCTTCTTGTGAATGAGCTATTCTTTCCAGTTACAACAGGAACCAGAAAATGGAGCTTAACTTTTATTTTAACATTTATAGAATTAACACAAGGTCTCTAGCTGTCTTTGATCCCACATGGTACCAGTTCCAAGTAAGCCAGGAAATGAGCCAATCTTCAAAAAGGGGACAGTTAAATCTAACAGCAGCTTAAATAAAAGAGTCAGTTTCTCAGCCACACGGATGCTTTGTCAAATAAATATTCCAGCTGAAATTAGACCTGAAGTAGGTGAGTAATATCCATGGCCACAAATTAAAATTCTGATAAACCTCACCTTCTTTAGAACCAAGGGCAAGCACCAGCCACAGCCACAGCCATTTCTGTATGGTGAGTAACAGGGGCTGGTGCTACACTGGTGGATAATATCTAAGGTGTGTTCAGTAGTAACAGGCCCCATCCAAGGACTTACAGGAACTGGCTGCAGTGGGAACTCAGAGCCCAGATACTCATTGAAGGACTTCTGCTCACCTTTCTTTCAGTATTTCCACTTTCGTGAGGACCATCTGAATGCGAGAAACAAAGAACCCCAAATCTCAAGCTAAACTCAAAGTTTATAACTTTTGAGTTTGGGCTTTACTTAAGTTGAAAGTACTTTGCTGCTATTACCTTGGCAAGAATTGGCCCTGCAAAAAAACCTGCAGGCTGCTTTCTCGCGGGGAGTTTGCAAAGAGCACAGCTGCTTCTCAAGACACCCAGACAGCTGGGACCCGTGCAAGTAAGGCAGCTTAGCCACTTTTACCTGTCTTATATGTCCTCAGGATTCTTTTACCGCTCAGACAAGACTGGCAGCAAAAGGGATTTTTTAAAAATCCCTTGCAAATGTTGTCATATTTCAATATCTGGCTCCCTTCCTGGAATAGTGAGTCTGCACCTCAAAAAAGGAGCACCTTTTCACAGACTGCTGCCTCTGCAAATAGCTAGGTAGAGGATTCCTGCCATGCAGAGACCCCATTTGTGTATCTACCCGAAAGAGTGCTACAAGCTTGACGTGATGATTTAGAAATTCACCCACCTGCTACTCAACAGGAAATCCTGCACCCCGCTACATCTGGGAAGGACAACACGTATGTGGCTACAGCTATTAGAGGGGGGGAAAAAAAAAACAAACCTCACTAACTTTTCTAATCAGTCCCTAGTCTGCCTAGCGTCAAGTGCTTCAGCCCCAGCAAGTCTGATTATTCCAAAGTCTAAATGACAAGCACAACGCTAAAGCCTGAAACCTGATTCTTCTTTTAAAAAGTGTTTAGTCTGCTCTACATTTAATAATAGGTTGCTACCTTATTCCGTTTCAGAGCTGCACTTGAGTTACATGTTTGTCTATGTTTCATTTTCTTCAATGATAAAAAGGCAAGGCAACAAGTCATCAATTAAAAAAAAAAAGTAAAAGTAGAGTTCTCATAATATACCAGAGAAGAAGAATGCAAACTTCTGAAGCAGAATTTTCTTTCCCATTGATCTAATATTCTCAGTGGTATCACTAAAGGGCTATGCTAGGTAATTTTACATCATTTTGTGTTAAATTGACAGTGACTGGGAATACTATAAAAGCCCTACTAATTCGTACCAGTTATAAGA